GGCTGCCTTGATATTAATGTGGTGACAGGTGACACATCACAGACTAGAAACAGTTTTCCATTCAGGTGATGGTGTATAATACGTTTGGGAACTACTGTGCTTAACTAATTGTTAACATGGCTAATGTGTATAGGTTAGGTTGTTTGCCTTGTGGAGACTGTTGAAATGTCTTTTCCTTTTTTAAACATTACACCTGCTGCACATCAGCATTTTAGCATTGTCACTGTGACCACGTTAACACATTCACACATTACTTCAAGGTGGTTTTCCATCCTGCTAACCTTCTAGTCACACCAGACAAACAATGTTAATTAGCTACTTTTGTTATGTTGTATTTGTAGCACTTCGTTACCAAGTGACACCAGATAAATAGAAACATGTGGCTCGTATAAAATGAGCTAGTTAGTTGTTGATATTGAATTTTGTTTTCATGTAACTGCCAGCAATGGTGCATTTTTTTTAACACCTGGAGATATGTATCACCAATGACCAACAATTCATAATTACAAATAGGAAGTGCAGTAGGAGGAAGTTCTCCAGAAGAATAAACCAGCCTTCTATCTCTATTCTGTCTGTTTGCCCACCACTTTAAGCTGTAATACAATCTGTCACATGGGAACATAGAGGGCTACTTGGTAACAAAAAGAGACTGTTATGGCTTTATGAAGGTCAGTGTTCAATGGGAGTTGGTTGCACCTGCAAACCCAGATTGTGCAACATCCACGTACACCATCACTGCACATAGTGTGGAAGAAAGAAGAGACCCTCTGAAACTCTCACACAGCCTCAACAAAGTGCAGCTGTAGACATATCTCACATGGCTGTGATCTTCAGCATGTCCACAGGGTCTTGTGTGTGTGTGGTTCATAAGGATGTAAACCATCAATCACCACCTTCTGACATGCTCCACAGCCCTCAAAGTAACTCTAAAGCTTTTTTTTCTCTTTGCGTCTGCTTTAAAATGTCTTCTAAAAAGCTCCGAGTATGAAAGCAGCTCTGCTCCTCTGACAACTAAGTGCTTTGCTGGATTCCCTCACTGTCCTAAACCTATTTAAACAACATGACTCAATTACAGCCCTGGATTTAAGTGATCGTGTTTTATGGCAAAACCACTATCATGTGTGTCTGGCTCCCTACTCACTCTGTGAAGTGAATCACTCCTGCAGATTTCACTTAAGATGCGCATTGATTTGTTCACTTGAGTGTGCATATATTACTATGTTAAATGTCAATCCACACTGCTGAGACTGAACCCTGTTAGGTATTTTTAGTCAAATAGATATTGGTTATATACTTGTACAACAACCCAAAACAGCCTCGTCTCTCTTTGATCTCGACTGAGATGGCAGAGTGCTGAAATACTAAAACTGTAATAACAGAGTACCAGGACTGATGCTGGGACATGTTCAATCAGGCATAAAGATTAATAAACTCTGAGTTGTTAAAAAAAAAAACTTAACACAAAGGATTGAAGAATTTTTGATCCAAGATATTTATGACATCAACCTCTCCGGCTGAGTTTTACCTGGATATTGTAGGAGTTCATCTCTGGCTTTTTAAAGCACTTTGACATTTAGGAAAATACACTTATTTCACTTATTTGCTTACTGTCATGTCTGAGTTAGAGCTGTGATGCCTAGTTTAGCATAAAGACTCGATGCAAGTGAAAAAAGTTTGCCAAAGTTAAAAAAATCCACCCACCAGCACCAGCATGTTATTTCTTGTTTGTTTAATTAGGAAATAGCCAGGCTGTCTGTCTCCACAGACATAGGTAATGCAGAGATATGAATGTGGTAGTTATACTCCTTCTAAAACTGGAATATACATGTATAATGCTCCAGCAAGCCACCAGTTAACCTTAGCTTAGCATAAAAACTGGAAACAGTGGGAAACAGCTAGCCTGGTTAGTGCACTACCCCCTGTAAAACCCCAACATGTTATTTATTCCTTTTGGTTGTTGTATAGATTAAACAACTAAGAGATAATGTGACCAAATGACCTCTGACCTCCACCACATGAGGCAGCACTGACCCTCTGTTTCCTCTCTGTTACAACTTAGATTTAAATTCCTCAGTTCCATCCTAACCCTAACAAAAGGGTGACACACCCTCTGAGACACACGCGAGGCTTATAAAAGTGAAGACTGTAGTGATGCATTAGTTATACTCTATACATACTGGCTCATGTGCAGGAATTCTACTGAGATTTAGGGACGATTTAGGTCATATTTATTCTTGGCATGGAAGTAAACGGGAAGCCTCTGGGGGTGTTTTAGTCAGAAAATGTGCCAAGAGCCAAGATCTTATAGCGGGACCAGATGTTTTCGTTTTGTGTGTGGAGACTCAAACCTTATAGATTCTGGGTTGTGGTTCAGGAAATTATCATATTCAAAATATACACTGTGATCACGTCAAGATTGTTGGCTCTCTAGAGACACCTGATACTACTTTGAAATTGCTTCAGTGCGCAGCACAGGGGAGTGATACATATTCTAATAGAAAACAAGGGGCCCGAGTGCAGGATTTCATGTAATTATGGTAACTTGGTGCACTTCTTGATAATCGGTCCTACCAGCAGACTAAACATTTGGAAGGAAGAGCCCTTGGGTTTTTAATGTGGGTCATGTCGGCGGGTCAAGTCCCATTGTCCATGCTCTGATAAAACAAAGCATGTACCAAGTACCAGCATTTTTTATCTTGAGGAAGTCAACACTATCAAACAATGAGAATGTTCTGCAAAATTCCATGTAATGTAAACAGAGGTAATGAGGAGTTTAATACCAACTACAGTATGCTCAGTGTGGGTGTAGTCTTAGTGAGTATTACGTTCTTAGTAAAAAAAAAAAGAACTTAGGAGCATAAACAAAAGAGCACTTAGACATTTTGCAAATGACACCTATTTACTTTGTTGGTGAAAGTTAGATGAGAAGATTGAATTGAGGCAGTAACTGGTTAGCTTAGCTTAACTCAAACACTGAAAATGGATGGAAACAAGCCTGGTTCGATCTGAAAATAGAAAAATCTTCCAGGACCTCTAAAGCTCACTATGGTATTACAGCTAGAGTATTTTATTAATCCCCAAATGACTTGGAATTGGCAAAGTTAAGGCTGGAACCTATTATATATGTTTACAATGACTGTTTAAACCAAGGACTTTGTGTTTTTCATGGTTTCATTATTCCATTAAATGGAAATATTCTTGATGTCTTGTGCACGTTTCCTCCTGACAGATTTGATGTCTTTGGAAACTCTGGGATCTCCTATAGAATTTAAATAAACTTCTGTGGGTTTGAGCAAAGTTTTTCTGCAGAGCAGCCCCACAGACTTGGTCTGAAATGGCAACGTTTAAAATTACTATCTGAAAGATATTTCCCCATTACGCTTAACCAGTGAAACTCAGAGCGACGAGGCGGCCCAAGTGGCTACAAAAAACCGTGCTGGTTTATTCAAAGGATCACAGGTAAAATTAACATCACACGCTCAGGTATCCTTCACCTCCAAAACTGCGCGCAGGCAGATGAAGAATGTAAGCCCCCGAACCCAACAGGCCTGTACATTATATCTGGTTTGAGCTAACCCCATTCTACACAGGCACGTCAAACTGTGGCGTCACCTGATATGCCAGCTTTACAGCTGACCGTAGCAGTAGTCAAAACATGGAGAAAATCAATGTGTGTGAGTGTTGATTAAGTGGTGTGTATCTAAGAACATACAGGACATTCAGGGACATGATCATCCTGCCTGCTGACAATCAAACTTTTCTATCTAGTTATCCTTGCCCATGTACACCCTGCTAAAATCTCATGACAATGACTAAGCGTTTAAACAGTCTAACTAGACATCCTGTCTCCACTAAACATTTCTAATACAACAAGTACCTAACTAATATTTATCTGACTAAAAATACCTAACATATCAAACACTTGAAAAAGCATGAGCTACAAAGCATTTCTTTGACCCATATCTCATTAAAAGACTTAACTCTTTAATCCCATACAGAATCGTTGTTTTCTCTTGTGCCTTCCAACTTCACTCGACTCTGTTTCCTTAGGACACACAGCACATAGTTCATCCTGTGTAGATGGAGATGATGTATCCTTTTGTACAGAGGAAGCACAATATCCTGTTCCTGCACAGGCTCTAATACAACACTGAGGCAGACTGGCCCCCAGCCTCACAGGGGGCATGAATGCTCCTGAAACTAAAGCCACGGGCTTACCAAGGCTGATATATAAGGTGTCTGTCTGTCTGTGCTTACGGTGTCGGTAAAAGCCTAATGGATCCCTCTTCTGAGAGGACGAGAGCGTATGGTTCTGATTTTCATGGCAAATATGTTTCCTGTAGCGGAGGCTCATGCAATTTTATTGAACCAGCATTTTCTTTTGTTAAATCATTACTGTGAAATGCAATAAATCAGGGTTTTGTTACATAAATAAGATTCAAGGGAATAGAAATTTCCCATTAAAGCCCTGTTTACCACACTAACCAGTTGGCTCTGCCATCTAGGTTACAGTAAATGATTTGTTGCCCTTGCAGCAATATGCCATGCCAATCTTGTATGCATTAATTCTAAATCAATCCCTCAACAAAACCCACTTTCAAGCTTTGTTATGCACTACAGTCAACTAGGCTCTCCTTTCATGGTGAATCATGAGGCCTCATTGCTGGTCCTAATTCAGACCTTTAATCACTTATGGATACAATTTACATTTGTTTTGAAACCTGTAGGTTACCCAGGACACTTTGCTATTGTCCAAATTAGTTAATTTTATCATTAAGGGATTTTACAACAATTGACTATCCAAATCATTAAAAGAAATCTAATTCGAGTCCCCACAATGTGAGCATGTAGACAGGTTTTGGCCCCCATATTGTTCTATATAGGCACCTACACACACACTGGTGTGAATAGTAAGTGGGAGGTCTACCTGTGGGTCCCAGCAGCAGCAGGCTGATGAGCCCTCCTCCTCTCTGCTACCGTCACCAGTTTCCCTGGCAGCCGAAACAAACTAGTCGGACGTCGTCTGCTCCTCCAGTTTACGCGCTACACGGCTCAGATGCACACTGTAGGAATGTACGGCAAAACCAAGCGTTTCTTTTGGTTTTTAGAGGGGGAACCAGCCTTATAAAAAGTGCATTTTCATCTCTAGCATGACAGGTCATTTCTAAAGCCGATAAAGGCGTTAACAATGTCTTACCAGCAGCGCGGTGTCCAACTCTCTGCTGCTTCGCTCGCTGTCGTTTTCGGCCCGGACGAGGAAAGTTTTGGCACCGCTGAAAGGAACCTCAACACAAATACTACGAGTGGTCAGGAGATTTTTGCGGACTTTAAAGCGCAGAACCTGCGCAGTTTCTGGAATAAAAGACTAGTTAAGGCCATAAATGAAGTATACTTTCAGGGATGGATGGAAAATTTGGTGCTTTTCATTCAAGGGAACGCAAACAACCTAGAGGTGCTGAGAGAAGCGTGGATGCGCAGGGGTCTGAGGTCACCAAAGGGATTTATCATTAAAGCTGTCGGTATGTAATCTCAGTCCTACAGAACCAGGATCTTATAGCAGAATGTAGAAGGCTGCAATACAAATATATGCAAAAAAGAGTGAATGCGCAGTAGAAGAGGAAATAAAAACACTACGCAAGAGCATAAGGTGCCTTTTCTTCCAGGGGCCATTGTAGAACCACACATTTGTTTACCACACCCACTAAATATGTGGCAGCCATAAACTGTACAATATGAGCTTGCAGTACCCCACTTTCTTCTCCTCCTCTTCTGGATTTTTCATTGAACATTAAATAAGTTTAATGGCAAACTGTCTTAATCCACATGTAATATTTGTAGAATCATCACTAAGGTGTTTTCACTGTCTTTCTGTCCCAAACAGCAGGTTTGGACAATTATTTTGTCCCTCATGAAACAGTCCGTCATTTAACGGATGCTGCAAATTGTAGAGGCACAAAACTCCCTTCACATAACAAAGATTGGCAAGGTCATATCCTTTCACTTATCTAAATAGTTGGCTTGATTTTATTCCTTGCAAAACACCTTTAAAATGTTGGTGTAATTTGTGAAACCAAATTTTGTTGTCATGAGTCATGAAATGTTTACCATGTTTACAACACCACGTTGTTTTTCATCACTGTTAAAGCCTGTGAGGCTCTATCTGTATTCCTCAGAAATATTGTCTGGTAGGTTTTAAAGGATTGCACGACCAATCAGCTTCCCTTTGTTGTCACCACAGTGTTATGTTTACTTAAGCTCGTTAACGAAGCTTTATATACATGTAATTACTTGGAATTGCTGCCCCACTCTGGCTGAGCTTCACAGATGTGTTTTAAAGTGCCATATAGCTGCACAGAAACAGTGAATGGAAACCTTTATGAAACCTCCTATATCGTGGTCTTGTGGGCTGTAAATGCCTGACAGCACCAGCTGCTGCGGAAAATGACAACCTTGTGTGACTTTTAGACCTAACGAAAGTATTCTTAAGAGACATACAGTCAAAGACTGCAGGATGCAGAAGCTTTAGAGGCAGATTTTCCAGCTGTTGAGAGAATAGTTAAGCCACAGCAGTTTTGTTTTGGTTGTTGAAACAGTGTCCCAGCAACACATTGAGTTATTGTTCAGTCCAAGCTGCCTTCTCTCTGTTTCATGATCTGTCTTTCCAATGATGTGTCCCTCTTTGTTTGTTCTTGCCACCATCTACCTGTTGACTTTGCATCGATTGGTCAGCTCTTCCAGACTGAGCAGTGCACAGACAAGTAAAGGGAGGAATGTGAAGGGGTGGAAGGGACCACACACAGGGGGAGACATGGGGGGCATAGAATGACAGATAGGGGAGGTGGAGGCTGACATGCCGTCTCGCTGTGTGACCGTTTCTGACCCTACGCTTCAGCTCAGCTTGCAAGCAAACACGATATGGGCCAAAGGTGATGCTGAGTTTATTAGCATGCATAGCATCAGCATAAAAGTGCACACAGACACGCATAAGGTCACAGTCAAATGAAATGCAAGTGTCAGTACCTCAGCAGATTCGTCATGTTTGAGCTAAACACCAGAAACATGTAAGAAACATATCTGAGTGTGGACAAGTCACCTCCTTCTTCTCCTTAACAAATCCTTCACCTTGCACCATAGCAATTTGTATGGAAATTAGTGCTGGCAGGCTGTTCTCACCAAGCACTGGTGAGCAGTGAATTACTGTGCGACTGGCTGCCAACCACAGCAGCTTTTCTGTTACCCAGGATTGATGTCCCTCCATTTCATGACCAGTAAGGGACCGTGGAAGTCAGACTCCTAGATTGATATCAGGCAAAGACTTAAAGGCCTTGACACTGTCCTCGTATAAATATGTCAGCTAGAAAACAGAAAGGTTATGAGTTATGGGCTACAGTGAATTTTAAACAGCCCTATTTCCTTCCCAAGGTCAAAGCAAGGTTGAGACATGCCAGGAGGTTTTTTTTTTAAAGGAAAGCTAAGGGGCTAATTTGGAAGACATTCAGCTAACACCAACCAGGTGTGGTTTAAGTTAGCTAACATTTAGAGAGAGATAACAAAGCTTCCATGAAAACAAACACAATCACTTGATTAATGTAAAGCACTGGATCATGTATAATTATCAGTGTTGAGTTGAGACAGATTGTTTTGTGCTGCACAGGAAAGGAGACGTGCAGGAGGTGTGGAGGGTCGGTGGAGGAAGGGGATTGTGGTGAGGTTAGGCTGAGACAAACAGACATGATGAGGAATAGTATTAACAGGCTTCACTGTTGTCCTTGTGGAATGTGCCCCGGTGGTCCTGATGTTGACCCCTCTACATAAGGCATAAATGTCTTCAGGGTGTTTCTCATTCTTCATCTTTTACTCTGCTTTATAATCACTACTAGCTGGTTCTGCATTATTTAGTGCCACTATTGTTCCTGCAATAGGATGTGTATGGATTCACAAGCTGAAACATTTATATGAAGTCGGCCAGTGGTGTAATGAGGTGTCCTGTATCCTCCCTGCAATCAGCCTCTGTAAACTGCCTTCATCCTTTTTGAATATGAAAGAGTCCTCTGGACGTGCCTCTCACTTTCGCCACAGAAAGCACTGCTTTGGACATAGTGTGGGTTTCCTCCTGTGTATGTTAGAGAACTAAGCCAAGTTTCCTTTATACATGATATGTCTCATTTAACTCACCATACCATGAGGCAGCAAAGCATTCCTGAAATGCTTAATTTACTCATGAAATCATTTCTTGTACCCTTCTTTGCTTTTCACTTGGTGTTTTCACACAAGGGGTGTTGGCTTTCATGAGGGTTTTTTGTCAACAGGCTTCACTAATGGTCATAACTCTTCCAGATGTTAGCTTATTAACCGTGACACCCCTTTACCAGGCCCACCCGGTCATAACTAAGCAGCACAGGTCAAAGGTTACAGCCTTCCTGTTAACAAGGTACCTTGAGTTCAGTTAGCTTCAGATGTGTTTTTAGGAGGCAAAAAGAGCAACCATGAAGATTTTTGACTTAATGTAATGGAAAGAAAAGGAGCCTCTTTGTTACATTTTTTAATCATATTATTGGTATAACATTATTAGACTGCCCTCTTATTATACAAGCACCACTCTTTTTCTCCTTTACTCTGCATTTGCACTGCATTTATCCAAATTGTCTTACTTTCTTTTTCCTGCACTTTTAAAATATGGTTTACTTTCAAGTATGAGGAAACCTTGACCTCTGCTCTCAGACGTGACCCTCTACAGTACCTACACATGTGAAAGAGACTCGTCACATCATTTGTTATTCACATCCTTTCCCATAGAGCAGGAAGCTTATCCCCAGTGCAAATTAGGCATGTTCGGCCTTTTTATTGACCAGAATACTGGGCTCACCCATAGTGGTGGAGTGGACCAGTTCCAATAATAATAATAGCTGGGAAGTTTCTTCTGTAACCCTCAGATTATACGCACTGTCAGCAACTGCTTGGGTTTCCCTTGTGGGATTTATCTTCAGTCACTCTCTGGACAGAAAAGTGGTCAACACACAAATGAAGCTATATTGCATGAAATTTGGAATTACAGAATGTATGCTAACATTGGTTCTGTGATAGCAAAGTGCTGCGTTATTGTATTTCAAGAGTGAAACATGCCATAAGGGACCACGGTGGACCTGTGTGCTGACCAGTTATAGGAGATTAAAATGCGATGAATCATATGGCATTTACAGGAACTCTGTTCTAAATATAAAAGCATAACAAACACAGGAATATGATGCACTCCTAGCCCAGTTACACAGGAGATAATAGGTTTCATTTGCAGCCAGTGACTGCCATCACATTTGATTGAGGGGTGCAGGTCAGCTGGAAACCCTGTTAGATTGTGTGTTTAAATGTTACACAATTTACAATAGAATACAGAATTTATCTAACTTTAACATTTAGGTTGTGCAGCAGATCATCTGACCAAAGACCAGTCAATTTGTTTATTCATGCACTGTTATTTGTACAAGAGACTAAAAGTCAGGATATCGCAACCTCTGGAAATGATATTGCCTGTTCTTTTCTTAATCTGTCCTAAAGCTCTGATTTTCAGTCTTGCACACTAGTTCAGTCCTGGGTCATTTATTTGTTATGGCATGAGCTGAATCAAACAGTTCTTACTACGAATCAGATGGTAAAACATTATTTAATGGCATTACAGCTGCAGGGAGTTACAGCCAAGATCTGTGGTGACCAACTGTGTGAGTGTAGATGTTTTAAGCTCTGGGAAAGTCAATTTGAGGAGCTTAGTCACACCGTTTATGCTTTATTGCCAACATATGTTAAATGTCAGTGGCAAAATGAGTCTCAAGACTATAGCTGGATTATATCCATAGCCTACTACACTTATGCTCCTCTTTCTTTGGCTTTGTACTGGATGTGGCAGGTCGCTGCCACAGTAAAGGTTTCTATGGCGATGCAAGTCAACACAAAGTTTGTGTTTCTTTTCATTACATTTAGGCCTGAATCCCTTATAGTTGTGGTGTTTTTCACTTTTTTTAAATCTGTCCCTCTGCTATATAATGACTACTGCTTACTTTTAGATGCAGCATTCAAAAGTCAGTACTAATTTCTTGACAGTAAAACTAAATTATATTAAATTTAGCAGAATTTTGTAGTTATCCAGAATGAATCTAGTTAATCTGAGTTAACCTGCCAACAAACACATTTTCTCAAACAGTGATAATAAAAAGGGCACAGTCCAGATTTTACTCTTTTCCTCCCACTTTAGCTCACTTAATATTTAAACACGAGCAGTCTGAAATACTGGACCGTCACTATGTTAGATTAAATATTTACCTAATGCCTTCAAGTTTGGGTGGAAGTCCTGGTTTTATTGTAGTGAATGACTCAGTAAAGCTGTAAAATGATCAATGTCTCCATTGATTATTGCTGGTGGGTTTTTTACTGGGTTGGTGACAGCTGTGTTGATAAAAATTTGCCAGCTATATACATGCTTTCAGAGTGGAAGGACAGGAAAGGGCATTGTTGTTAGACGGGGCGAGGTTTGGTTGTGAGGACATTCGGCTTTGATTGCTCTCTGAAGGGATCTTTTTACTCAGTTTATTGGGCCATTTAACTGCCACACCCACATCTTGCTCTTCTATGGGAGTAAAAGACACGAACTTGTAAAGCACTGTTAAAAATGTGTGATGCACACACACACACACACACACACACACACATACCAAAGGGGAGGGGTGTTCACGGAGGGCTTCTGCACCAAAAAACTCAAAACAAAGCGAAGTGGTCATGGGACAGTTGGCATCTCTTCCCATTACATTAAGTCTGACTGTATGAATGTTTGACATTGTTTCATCAGAGGTTTAACTCAGATGTAACTCATACAGTGGGCAAAGTGAGGTGTGTCCTTCACAAGGTCTCAGTCATTGGGAGACAGAGAGGGATTTTGCAGTTTGGACATGCCTCAAGTTCATGTTGAATGCCATGCAGTGTGTGTTTAGAGAAGATTAGTCTGTTTACTCACTAGAGCCTAAAAGATTAGGTGATAGCAGGACGAGATTAGAGGGTGTGTGTCTGTGTGTATGTGTTTCCAGAAAACTCATGGGGTCAGGGATTGTGGCAACAATCTTGATGTTTCAATTACGTTTTACCTGGTCAAAAACTAGATCCTCTCACAAGTTGTTGGTTTCTGTTCCCCCTTTAAGTCCTGGGTATACTTCATATCCTGTCTGTCTTAATCTGTCTGTTCATGATGGAATGATCAGTGGAGATACATCACTCAACCCCCAGTTGCGAGTTGACCCCGCAGATGGCTGCCTCGGTTGTGTACCGGAGACAAATTCCTTGTGTGTGTAACATGCTTGGTCGAACAAAGGTGATTATAGCATCTGTGAACTTTATGATAGTTGGTTTGTGCACTCGGGTGTCAACCAAGAGCCTACAACTACGCTCTGTGAGGCTGTTCTTAGGCAAACTGGCACTTTGAACTAAATGCTAATATCACCATGTTAACGTGCACACAGTGACAGTAATAACATGGTGATGTTTAGCAGATACACATTTACCATGAAGTAACACATTGTTTAAATCTAAGTCAGTGCAACTCATGACAGGTCTACACTAAATACTGTATAGTGTGGTGAGTTAGTACATTTTTCAGAGAAACTGGTGGTAATGCAATCACATAAGAAATGGGGCTCATGTGGCTCTAAGGCCAGCAAACAACACATCCATGTGAATACATGTGGTACTGATCAGTGTCAGCCAAAAAGATCCCAGTGGGGATAAAGGTGAAACGGTCTATCTCAATCATCTCCGCAAGTTTTATCCCCCAGGCAGCAGTTTATTCTGAAATAGACAGTTAATGACATGGGAAGAAATGCATGTTTTAGCTCTGCATGGTACAGAAGAATAGTGTGAGCTTTGTCACTTTAATGTTGTAGTGAATAAAAAGTAACATTTCAAACATATTTTATAAAGTTGCAACGATCTATTTTAATCCAGATTTGCATATAAAGTATGCATTACACCAGCAATTCTCACTGAGATACTCTGGATACAGTTTTGGACATCATTAGACGACGTAAAGGATTTTGAGAAAAGATTGTTCCTACCTCTGCTCTTATGCTAAATCATGTGGCGAGAGTGGAAGGCGGAGTGCAAAGTCAGCCGTCATACACAGGGAGGACATGTGATATTGACTGAATATGGGAACAACAGTGCACATTTTTAGACAGTTTCTCCAGGAAGACATAAATAATGTTGCACTTGTTTTTTCCCCCACCACATTAAAAAGTGCCACAAATAATATTTTAATTCCCAGTCGTTTGTAAGGCAGGTTTTACTTTGTTAGATTTATACTCAAATTCAAGGTGAGTTGACCTCGATGACATCACAGTGACATCATCAGGGTTATTTTCTCGGACTTGACAAAGCTCTAGTGCTAAAGATAACATTACACAGTTCTCACAGTGTGAATAGGGCTAAACATTATGGATGAACAGACTTTGATGTGTAGAATTGGTGTACTGCCCCTTTAAGGAGTTTTATTTGACTGCCAGTCCTCCTAATTTGCCTTTAACTCAAGTTTCTTTTCTTGTTTGACTCTCGAGCTTCTGTTTTTCTCCCTTTTTCTTGTGGCACAGGGTCAGTTGCCATGGCACCCAGCTGGGTATTCATGTCTGCGTATCACAAAGGGTGTAATGTCGGTGGCCCAGTCTTAGATTACAGGAAGACAGAGGTCCGTTCCCTCTGGACTGAGGATGGTTACAACAACAAGACTGTCATGGCTGCTAGTGTTAGACTCAGTTAACACTAACCCTCTGCCAGATCCATCCCTCTATTGCACCAAGTTGTTCCCACAAATAAACTGCTATTGCTTTCTGTCTCACACATACACGATCAGTCTCACGTGTCTGTTGATTATTTTAGTCAGTGCTGCTGGAAAACCATAATTAACTGAATGATATGTGATAAACATGCTTTTACTTGAACCTATATCTATTTTATACCTATATCATTCAGTCTATCAAAACTACCTCTGTGTAAAGATTTGGGAAGTTTTTTCAAGGAGGTGGTGTTTTATCATTAGTTTATTAATTCACTGGAATTAATACCCCTCTTCTGATCTTACAATGTCCTTGCTGACCTTTTGAATACTGGCAGTGGGGGGGTTGCTATGTGGACAGCCTGTCAGACATTTCTATAGGAATTTAACAATGAGCAGCTTAGTCCTCAGCACTAATTCACTGCCCAGGGAGACTGCTATTGAGATATCCGCTCTGAGGTTTAGACAGATTAACATCTTATGTTGGAGCAGATGTGTGTGTGTGTGTGTGTGTTTTACAGTCCCTCCGGGTGTCATAGGATCAGTTTTACAAAGTCAGGCCCCTGACTGTGAGACTTATGGGCCTTAAGTGAGCTCACTCTGCTGTTAATTGTTTTTTTACTGACTTTGCTTGACATATTCCTTACCAAGAATAAAACATTTTCAGCAGAGTGTGACTGTTGAGCCCTTTTTTGTGTTAATATCAGTTTTTTTCACATACCCCTTCTTTCACCCATCATACACCTTACATTAATGTGGCGTAGCTGATTAACTAAAACCAATTTTCCAGTTCCGTGCGTAAGGTTGCATTCATGCCTTTGCATCTGCTGTTCATATGAAGAGAGTTTGTGTTAACTCAGCCCAGGTGCTAATCATTCATCAGCACAGGAATCTGGTGTGTTTTATTGCTTGCAATGTCCTCATTTCTCATTAGTTAACATCATTCTTTGTGCTCTGTACATGAGTATATTTTGTCAACATGCAGACATTGATGTTAGTATGTCAATATCATAAAAACCTTTGAAAAGTTTTTTCACAAAGTTTGAAGGAGCTAAGCAAACATTTCAGGACTTCCCTTTCATATTATTGTTCTGCGGTTTGTAATGCATCCTTAAACTGAAGTTATGCACAAACCAGACCCCCTGTCCACAGTCCTATCCTAGCCATAACCACATCGAAACTGGGCCTAACCTCAGCCATCTCTAATTTGATCTAAACATAAACATTTGAACTCTACTCTGTACCTACTGTACAACTTACCAACTATATAGTCTATATAGACTACTACACTACTCTTTACTATTGTCTAATATCTAAATATATAAACATTTCTAATATTACGCCTCAACACAACCTTACAGTTTGACAGGTCAGCAACAATGTTTCTGCCCATAACTGGTACGATCCAAAATGTCACATATGTAATGGCTGAAACTGACTATAGACCAATAGACCAAGGAAAGTGATATCGTACCACGAACTGGCACTACAGTTGTCTCTTGTCACTGAATGAAGCAGCCCATTGATCAGTTTAGTGGTAAATTCTATAGACACAACTGTGCTAAAATCCGCATTCAGTTTTGATGTCCTATCCTATTAACAGGGTGTAAAACAGGGTCTTTGTGGTATCAAATGCATCCTACTCTCCTTATTATGGACTTTGCACATAAAACTATTTGCCAGAAGCAATTTAACCACTGCATGTTGCTTCAATTACATTTTTCAACTGTTGATTGTCTTTGATACTGAAATGAAATGGTTTAAACGATTAAAAAGTGGCTTTAAAGGCTAAAATGTCACTTTAAAGGTTAAATTTTATGATTTGAAAACCTTGTGGCCTCTGTGTAATGGGCTCCTGCAGCTTGTTTCTATGTAAGGGGACCACTGTCAGCCCACAGAGCCATGCATATTGTTGGGATTTTGATATGAGTAATCCAGACAAAATGAGTTTCATACTATTTTTACAAAGACAAATATTTCCAGGACTGTCTTTCTTTTTTTTTTAGTCACTCTCACTTTCGGTAAAATGTTTGTCTAAGGGGACCTCCTAGATGAGTGGGGCTGTGTGATATTAGATCTGCCCAGCAGGCAGACCTGTGGTGATTTCTGTGGGAGTAATGGAATTCTGTGGTCTGCCCCAGTACCGAAGGACTTTCAAAAGCAGTCAGGCATGGCTCATATAACTCACATAAAAAGACCACCTCAGTCATGATTTAGAGGGTGGTTAGGACAGGAATGTCAGCTTCAGTACCAAGGGCTGTTTTCACTGGCAGCATAATGTAGAGAGAGACCCTTTTTAACCCACTTGAGTTTTTGTGTACAGCAACCACGTCACCTGTTTCCCTCAGTAATTTGCTGTTGTGTGTGTGTTTCAGGTGACCTGTCTCCAGTGCAGATGTTCCCTGTCCCCCAATCCCAGTTCATTCCCTTGGCTGAGGTGTTGTGCTCAGTCATCTCAGATATGAACTCCTCCCAAATCACCGTGACCCAGGAAGCACTTGTCAATTACATGAGCAAAGCCCACCCAGGTAATCAGTCAAACAGAATAGTTCAACATGTTGCTAAATGCACTTGCTCGCTTTCTGGCAGTGTTAGATTATAAAACTCTTATATCTGCCATTTACTGAGCAAAAACACTGAAAACAGAGGGAACAGCTACCCTGAGACCTCTGGAGCCAAAAACACCACCAGACTATTTCTTGGACAGATGCAGGAACTTCCAAGAAGCAGTCTGCCAGTTTTTCTATGTTATGAACAAGCAAAATATGTGGTTAATTACTGATAATAAAGGTGCTTGTTGAATTTTGTTAACAATGGACAGAGCTAGCTGTTTCCTGTTTTCAGATTGTGCAAAAGATTTCATTTACCAGACATGAATTTTTCTTCAGGGACTTGGTATGCTTAGACTTAAATTGTTGCATTTTTCTTTCACTTGCCTTTTGTTATTAACACTGTTTTCCTTTTCCATGTCACAGGGACAACCATCCCCACTCAGGACATCCTCTACAATGCTCTGGGCACGCTTATCAAGGAGCGCAAGATTTACCATACAGGAGAGGGCTACTTTATTGTTACCCCTCAGACCTATTTTATTACTAACAACATGGTCCGAGAGAAGAACTGGTGGACTTCTGGGTCAGCAGATGACCCTCCTTCACCTCCTCCCATTACCTATCTATTAAGCAACGATGCCTGTGTTGAGAGCACTCCGACACTCCCAGTGGCACACTGTAAGTCTTGTAGCTGTTTCACCCCTCTCCAAGCAACCACTAATATCGCTCCCACTACTGTAACAGCCACTGTCCCTCCCTCCACTGACCAACATTCGGTCTCTGTTTCCGTTAGTGAATGCACAGGCAAGAACTTAAAGTGGCCCAAACCGTTAGATCACAAACCCACAGTGCAGCATCAGTCTACCTCCACAGCAGCAGACTGTCAGGCAAGTGAGATCAGCAAAACTACAGCCACTACCAACACCTCGGGCCGCAAAGAAAAAGACAGCAAACCAGGCAGGAAGTTTGGTCTCAGTTTATTCCGGAGGAATGGATGTAAAAAAGAGAAGCCAAAGAAGGAGTATGCTTCATTTTCAGGCCAGTTTCCTCCAGAGGAATGGCCAGTGAGAGACGAGGATGACCTGAACAACTTACCCCGTGACCTGGAGCATGCCATCATCAAACGCATCAACCCTGAGCTGACTGTGGACAACTTGACACGCCACACAGTCCTAATGAAGAAGCTGGAGGAGAGGAGGGAGAGAGGGATAGACAGAGTTTTGGACAAGGGCCTGGATAAAGATGATAAGGGAGTGGACAAGGGAATATCTACTGAGATTCTAATTTTCTCAAAACCCAGGCATCATCACTCCTCTAAGGCAGGGGTAGGGAAAAGATCTGCTCCAAAGGTCTCTCGCAGCAAAAGGAGAGCCCAATCATCCAGAGAGAAACAGAGGGAAAGGGAGAAAGAGAGGGTTAGGAGTAAGGGTCCCATATGTGCGGACAAATATCTAGAGGGGGAGGATCTGATCCCGACTCGACTCAGAATGGAAATCCCTGTTGATGAACCAGATCAAGTGGAAGAAGGTGGAGCTGTTGATGGAAAATCTCTTTATAAAAAACACATTGAAAACCCTTTCCAGACTCATCCAATCAAAGAAGCTGAGACCGTAATTCCTGCCACTATTAACAGAGAGCGTAGAAGACGAGAGATGAAAGAAAGCAACACGCCAGGGCCAAGGAGGAAGGAACGACCAAGTCACCGCTCTAAATCCTGGGACCCACATCGGGCAAAGGTAATTGCAGCAGATGGAGAGCATGCAGAGAAATCCCCTACATCTGAGGACAGGTATGACTGTGTCCATATGAGGAACTTTGCTGCAGATTATCTGCTCCAAGCAGGCACAAAACTCAGCAAAGAGCTGCCGCCGGACTACAGCTCAGTCTACCCACAAAGCAGTACGCTCCGGATAGACGACAAGGTCCAACATCAGAGGGAAGGAAACAACAAGGAGAGCTGGGAGAGAGAAGGCAAAAATGGCCCTTTTCAGGAGGCACTATACCACATAGTACCAGGCCACAGCCAAACTATAAATGCCTGTCTCCATAACACCCAACAGTATTCTAATACTAATGGGATTCTACCTACCCATCCCAGTGAGCCTATCACACACCACTCATCTGACCCATCTCTGCCCTGGCCCAAGCCCGCTTTACAGCGGAAACACTCCCTCAGGCTCTACAACACACACAGGGATGATATTCAGAGGCCTGATGAGTTGTGTTCACACCAGCAGGCATGTGAAACTACAGCTGTGCAGGGACAACAAGAGATAAAATATACCACTATCAGTAATAAAGAGCAAAGGATCATGAGCCAGGGAGAAAGGCCAAAACTGACATCTGAAAACGCTGCCTCAGTAACAGCCAGCGATGGCTTTATAGAAGATGACTACAGGCTCTATCAGAGAGCAGATGAGCAGGAGGATGAAGATGCCTGCAGCTCCTTGTGCCTGAATGAGGACGAGATTATCAAGCCTCCAAATGTGTACCAGACAGGTGTAGGAGATCAACATGACCACCGGTTAGGTTGCCATAACTGTGAATCTGAGTTGCAGTATCAGGGACCCCACAGTCATTTCTATAACTCCAGCTTTCAACAAGAAGTTGCCTCAATACAAGATTCAAGGGACTGGACTTTGAATGGTCTCATTCCCCCAGCAACCCAGAGTGAAGCATCCGCCAACTCCACCAGGCCAGCAGTAACTAGCTGGAGACTCCATAACCGCTATCAGCGGACAAGATCACCAGGGGCCCACAGTGAATCCCGCCCCAAGCAAGGCACAGTGGTACAGGGGGAAGGACGACATGAGGTAAACTTTGGTTTGGACTGTCCTGAACCATCTGAAGTTGCTGACGGTAGCATCTTTGACTACTGCCGGAGCAGTGAAATAGAATCTGACACAGAGAGAGTCCGTAAGTCGACTGATGAGGGCGACGGTGAATCTGCTCACTGGGCAGCTGAGGTGGAGGAAGTACAGGAGGATGAGTTTGATGAGACAGGTGTTCCTCCGACACGAACTATTCTGGGCAGGCTCAGTGGAGCCAGAAGGGCAGAGACTGGGGAAGTGGTGGAAATGGGAGAGAACCAGAGCATCACAGGAGACAGTGGCATAGATTCTCCTCGGTGAGTGCCTCTCTTTATAGTTGTTCATGTTAGCTGTAATACAATTCTGAGTGTTCCTATTTCATCATAGCTAACTTTGAGACCAGGAATGTCCCATCAAGTCCAGTGAACATACTGGAATTTAGACAGCTAACACAACAAGATGAATTTATTAAGAAAAAAAGAAAAAAGAAACATCCCTAACCCCTTAGCCAGATGCACATTCCCTTCAGGCCAGTGTTTTACAAATTTTAAAACCTTATCTCTCCTGGTGTGAGCCCACACCACAAACCCTATCCCAGTCTGGAAGGGTTTTAGAGACAGGCAAAGTAAACAGTGGACTGAGGTTAGTTAACCTCTGGGTTACATGTCTGTGGCTGGCCTTGCTCCCAATTTGTGTTTTTTTTTCTTCTTTAAACTAAATTGTAATAAAGCTGTACAAACACCTTGTGACCAATTAAAGCATCCAATATTTGGACAGAAGGGAGTCATTTTGATAATTATGCGTAATTGCTGCCCTTAAATTCTTACGTTATAATCAAAGAAGAAGAAAAGACTTCTTTTCTGGTATTGAACTTGCTCTGCACCCCATTATATAGGCAGACAGATGCAGTGCATGAACACATCAGCTTGTTCAAATGGCATATTTATAGAAGATATCCCACCTCATGCCTTCCTTTTTTCCCCGACAGGACCCGTGTCAGTCTGGCCTCCAGCAACACTGTCATTCTGGAGGGTCTCAAGAGAAGAGGCTTTTTACAAAACCTGGAGAAACTACACTCAAAGAGCAGCACCATTCGGCCACAAAGCTCACTGCTGCAGCTAACTCCTGTCATGAACGTATAGCACATCTGTGTCCCCCCTGGTGAAGCTTTGTGCTAGAGCAGACAGATGGAAAGGCCAAAACCTTTGTCTGTCTTCAAATCTCCACTTCTATGCAACTGTTGCGATCAGAAACATGTCCAGTGAGGACATGTAATACCTATTACAGCAGGGGCCAGTGTACAAATATACAGCATATTTTTTTCTTTTTGTAAATAATTTTAAAGGTAATATGCTATGATGTGTCCACTCCTGGACAGCCTTATGTTTGTGCTGTTAAATGCATGCTGTATTAACAGCAGTTTTTGTGATATAAGTGTACAGTTTTCTTTCTCTACATGCCTCATTCATGTTCATAACAGCAATAACATTTCCTTTCATTTTCTTTTTTCTCTCATATAGCAATTGCCACAAATAAAATTATGAATATCAACCAGGGTGTCTTCATGTTTCTCCCTATAAAAGAACACTTACCACCGATATAAAATGCTTTATTACTAGACATTATCTTAAGAAAGCAATATTGTTATTGAGCAAATAAAACCTTTATAGTTGTTGAACAGATGTGCATGTTTTATTGGATGATATCACTTTATTTTACTGCCCAATTTCATTAAATAACACTGTGGACACTTTCTTAGGCACACCTACATTTTATACAACTGCATCTCTGTAACTCTCAACAAAACCCTGAAAGTCACAGGAATCATAAATTGAACTTTACTTCATAACAATTATTGGATATCTGAATTCATTATGTTGTGCAGCTTTACCTAATAAAGTGGCCATTCCGTATATATTATTTTAGCAACTGCATTTGCATGAAGAATGAGTATAAATCTGTTTATCTTTTGATGGGATATCACTGGACATTTACATTAGTTAAAACATGCATGTAAGGGCTTTTAGTACTAGTGTAAATATCAGTGATGCAGACCAGACACTGCTCTGCATCCAGTCCTTATCTGTGAAAACCAGCCTTGAGTGTCTACCTCAGCAGACAACTAGTCTGACCTCCAGCTGTGAAGGAATGTAAACCAGTATGAGAGTGTGGGAAAGCTGGTAGTTTTGACATGTTGATGATTTTACAAAGGCCATTCTCAAAAGTGTTCCCCACATAGCCTAGATTAAATTACATTTTAAACTCAGCAGCATATACTGCAGTAGACCTGTTCAGTATAGGTGATACTCCAGTTTAAGAGTCAAATGTTGCAGCTGAAGGAAGAATAACAGTCCTAATAAAATTGATGTATAACACCAACGTACCTGGCCAACATCTGGCATCATGATTCGGGGGTGAAGAGTGACACCATGTGGCTAAGCTGTGCAAGCACACAGACAATAGCACTGACTTCAAGTGGAAAAAAAAAATCCAAACCCAACTTAATATCTCACCCAGCTTTACAATTATGCACCAATCATGTGCCACTTACTCTTCCTAAAAATGACAGCTTATCCTAGTCATCAGATGAGATTTCAATCTGACTGTGAGGGTAACTTCACCATTGACTTGAACACCACAAGAGAGTCAAGAACCTTTATTTATCCATATATGTGCCACTCAGAAACTGGGAAGAGGTTACAGGGTTTGCCCTCAGGAGAAGCCTATATGGATAATGTACAATTACTCTCTACAATGAGGCCAGACAGAAAAAAGACAATGTGGTCACAACAGTGTAAACACATGGTAATATACAGGAACGCAAAAACAAAAAAAGCAACAGGTATCAGTGACATCAAATTAAAATGTAGAGTAGGTTAGTATGAGTCAGAACACAAGTCTCCAGAAAACCTCAACTTTTCTCAAATAACAGCTCAGCATACATTTCTACATAGCATGCAATAAGGCACCTAGCTAACACAAGGAAGAAACCTATGCTACGGTTTGAAGCACAATTGTTATTCAAAAAGAAAATACTGTTCACCATAATGTTCGCTCCCATAAAAACTCTATCCCCTTTGATATAACCCAAGCCATATCTAAAAAAATACATCAGTCTGTAAGATATTTTACACAGAACAGTAAATAGAACGCAATCCAATAGAATTCAGAACTATTTTTTGTAAAAGTGTTTATGGTCTTTTAGTATACACAGTCTTACTTTTATTTAGATCAAATTGTGGTAGTTTGCAGATCAACATGAGTTACAGTTAACCTATATTCTGTACATGGGTAACTAAATGATCCTCCAAAGCAATAAACAAAGTGAGATGTTGCATTTCATGTACATGGTGCTTGGGTACAGAGGAAACTGCACAGCAAATAATTAGGACACAGGTCATATTATAATATGCTAACCAGTAAGTTTTTTTCTACAATGTATTTTCTTATGGCTAAATAGCATGTCATAATAGAGTCGGGGTGTCAGCCAGTATTGCTCTCTATACAGTCTCTGCAGCTGTGCTAACCCATCGCAGACATACAAGAAAACATCCTCATAAATATACAAGACGGCTCTTGTCTGATGGAGCCCAGATTCAAAAACAAGCTGCATGAGAACACCTGCAACATGTTTATTTCCAACACTTAAAACAAATTAAGGTCATAAAAGAAAAGAAAAGAAAAGAAGGGCTGGCGACAAAGTGGATCTCACTATCAAAAATGTAATTTTTTGGAACAGCACACTAGTCACCTATACATCCATATATAAAAGGAACTCAATAAGTATTTACATTGGATTTCTGATGGTTGTCTCACGTGGGTTATGTGTGTGAAAAAGCATAAACTATTGAAAGCAAGACAATAGTTCTTATTCATCAATCATGTTGGTGGCCTTGAACAAAGTTGCAGCTGAAAAGCGCACATGCCCACCTAAAGGTACATAAACTCAATTCTTTTATCAAAAAGACTAACCAGAGGGTGATGCATATTTTCCCTAGGTAACTATGTTATGTTGATTTTCAAATCACTTCTTTTAAGTGTTCAAAAGAGGTCCTGCAACAAGTGAAGCACAAACAACATCAGAGGCTCCTTCAAAATCTATTATGATATTCTCCTGTTCAAACTGAGCACAGTCCTGGATTCAGCTCTGAATTATAGGTTACACAGTCCTTCAGGCCAATCGATTTCCTTTTGAAGATTTGTGTTACTGTCCGTTTATTCCCAGCTGTTCCACTTCACCATAGCAATGTGCTTATCTGACCACTTGTCTTTAGAAGTTGGCCTGATGTTTCCTGTGGTGTGGTAATGTCAATCATGGGACCAATGTAGAACAAAAACGGGGGGAAGCAAGGGGGTGTGTTTGCATGGAACAGCTTGTAAGAGTGGGAAAGGGTGCTCACTGATCTACATGGATCCTATGATGTCTGGAGAGGGAAGATGAATGATTAAAACCTTTTCCACACTGGGAGCACCTGTAGGGTTTTTCAACGGTCAGGATGCGCTGTTTTTGGAAAGCATTGTTAGGGAATCCCTTCCCTGTAGGGATGGTGCTGTACTGCTGCGGTTGTGGCTGTGGTGGTTGCGGCTGCTGCTGTTGCTGTTTGTTCTCCAAGTGCACTCTCTGATGTCTAGCCAAGGAGGAGGAGTGATTGAATCTC